TCTCTCTCTCTCTCTCTCTCTCTCTCTCTCTCTCTTGTGCGCGCTCTTAGTCTCATTGCTTTGGCTACATTAGGGCTGCGTTCCCCGCGCCCACACGGTAGACAATTACAGGCCTCCAGTGCTAGGATATCTTGCACCCTCAAGAGCATACTCACACCACGACCTTCAGGTGGCCTTGAGATATCATCATTGAATCCAACGGCCTAGCTCAGTTGGTAAGGCACGTAAGTGGCATTCAGGAGGTCTTGGGTTCAATCCCCATTGGCCTCATGTACCTTCCTGGGCAAGCTTGGCGCCCGCCACCCCAAGAGAGATTGAGCAGAGACTGCTGATGCTCAGAGTGGAAGGAGACTTGGGGGAGGCACAGCGACTGGCCCATCAAAGAAGCACAGTCCTGATGCTACCAGCTGACCCCTGGCCGGTATCGCCCACCTGCTGGTGGATCCAGCTCCCGCAAGAAGGGTCTGCTACAGGGTTCCCCGTAATACTATTATGGCAATAAAAAATGGGCCGAAGGACCATCCTGTCCAGATTTGACAGGTAATTGAATTGGTTGGGCTTTAAACCACCAGTACCTCGTACACTAGGACGCTAAGCTGCAAAAGTGTAACCTATTCCCAAGAAGCCGGGGGCTCAGAGCAGGATCGGACGCAGAAAAACAGAAAACGAAAAAAAGAAGAAAAAAGGAACAAAAACTCTAAGAACTTCGAATCCAGCGACATCGGGGACGGCCCTCACGTAGGTGGAAGTCACACCAGTGCTTTGAGGAATGTATCTGGCCACCCTCACGTAGGTGGAAGTCACACCAGTGCTTTGAGGAATGTATCTGGCCACTATGTGTAGGACGTGATTGCTGTTGTTTTTGTTTTTTACTTCTTCTTTTCGTTTGCTTTTGTTGCCCTGCCAGCGAGGCAGGGCGGATTCCACGCAGGGCAAGTAACTGCCTCATTCACGTCAACAGCAATCATGATCACCACATAGTGGCCAGATACATTCCTCAAAGCACCGGTGTGACTTCCACCTCCGTGAGGGCCTTCCCCGACGTCGCTGGATTCAAAGTTCTTAAGAGTTCTTTTGTGACTGGTACCGTAGCGTCCTGCATCGAACCACGATCACAGCATAGGGTTTTCTTTTTTCTTTTCTTTCATTTTATCTTTTGTTCCTCGGAGAGACGCCCTCAGTGATAGAAT